ACTCAAGTTTATCAATTGCTGCTATTTTACGGGCAGATCATGTAATCCAGGTGCTTCGCAATCAAAAGTAATGCAACATGAATTAGCAATCAAATAAGTGGATTAGGCTGACAATATTTGGTCACTCAATAGGCACCGGTCATTGACAAAAACAGAGCCTTTTTCTGCTTTATGCAGACTTTACAATAATTAGGTAATTCTGGGATCTGAAAGGCCCATAGATCCCATACACTACCAGCAACAAATTTGAGCTAGTTACCAGAATGAGTTAATTTCATTATTGGTGTAAATGGAGGCTGGGCTACAATTTATATGGACTATGGAGGCTGGGCTACAAATTAATCTATAATCTACATGGCTTCTCAAAGCCTATTTGCTGTTAATTAGAACAACAGTAGGAGACTAGGAAAGTCAATTAGTACGAGTGTTGATTAATATAATAAAGTCATCCTTTTATTTTTTGCACTGTTCCATGTAACATCGACCACTTCATTGTATACAATGGTTGTACTTCGACATGTGCATGGTTATACTCTAGCTCCTAGTTTTAATTATAGTGGCTATCAAACGAAAAATATACGTGAGGTTATGAGCTTTATTGAGCGATTTGCAACTCTCATCTATTAAATTTTCCAGACCTGTATAAACAATAAACAGTAAAACAATGATTACATCGTACATACCATACAATAGATCTTTTGTTGTTGTTTGTTTGCAGAACCTAAAACCACGATGTAGCGCCATTTGTTTAATACTGTATTATTTTGTTTTTAATTTTAAAATAATTTAGAAATTAGATTTCCTACCATTTATATACGATATACTTCATGTAATTAAACATTACGGCATTACGCCGACAGTTTCCGAATGCGTGACGATACTGTTTCTGGATGCTGGGATATGATATAGATATCAAAATTTTTATAAAACATGTTTGTAGCATGAAGAAAGCACGAGATTGAAACAGTTTAAATAAAATGCAAGCTAAATAAAGAAGTTTTGACATGATACAAAACAAGACAATTTCACTTACAAGGGTGACAAGGTAATTTATAGGATTATAGCTTATTCAGTTATACTGTATAAATACATTGTGTGTTTCTCTTGTGGGGGGTTTTTAAATCAAATATTTATTATATTTTGCAATTTGAACCCGACATAAATGAATGATATTAAAGTTTAAGACATGTGTAGTGCATGCCCCTTAAGTAGAGTATATTAACTGTTTACAATATTTGTGGTATATAATGTAGCCATGAATGACCACATGACCCCACAAGATGAACCCCAATGGCTTCTAAATAGAGAATGGATGAAGAGTTCATGAATATTGAGCTTTATATGTGAATCAGGTTAAATACAATAATTAATTAACCTAGCTTTATATAAAATGTACATACATGTTCTAATAATTGTATTTTGCTTCATACAATGCATATGTGTGTGGAAACATTACATTATTATTTAGCTCACTCCCTATATTGGGGCTTTTCAGTGACCGACTACATCAAGAACTATGATTACTTATGTAATAGCATAGTTGCCCGGGTTTCTTTTGTTTCAACAGGGTCGATTACTAACTAATCGCCCGCTGTAGCGGGCGATTAGTTCTAATCGCCCGCTAGAGCGGGCGATTAGAACTAATCGCCCGTTACCAAGGGTCACACCTTTGTCTCCCTGACGACTACGCATTAGGCAAGTGCCTCACGCACATAATCGTGCAAGGAACAGCAACAGTTAGCTCAGAGCCGTCAATAGTCTATCATCCGATCCCCGAGTTGCCGGATCATTTAAATTATGCACGTGCAGTCTTCAAATTTATACTAATATATTTAGCGTTGTTGTTGTGGTACGTTAAATGATAGATTGCGCATGCGTAACCGATTAAAGCGTAAAAAGTGCGCATGTGCAACAAGCTTTTACATCCCACAAGCAATGAAGCAAATGTTTTAGCTTAAATACGCTGATTCCAAGTAGGGCATGTTTGTCCATTTTTAAATGGGAGCGAAACTATGCTATTACAAACTAATAGCATGGCTTTTCGGGAGATTAGTGATTAAATGACCCCTTACCCTCGGCAGGTTTGCGGAATTCCCTCGGGCTTCGCCCTCGGGAATTCCGCAAACCTGCCTCGGGTTACGGGGCCATTTAATCACTAATCTCCCTCAAGCCATGCTATTACTTATAATTAGCCTAGACTATTTATCTTTACAACAATGAGAATATGATATTACTTTCCTAACTGTGTTTATATCCTAACCACTGAGCTATACTTAATATATCTGGAGATCGTGCTCCAATACCTCGTCAGTCAAAAATGTGTGGCCAAAAACATGGCGGATTTTGGCCAAATTTACGTCATTTTGACGTCACAATCGACCTAAATTTATGGTGAACACCACTGACCTAAAATACTAAAGTGAAGAAAAAAGTTATTCACACCCCCCTTTCAATTTGCTTAAAGCAGAAGGAGGTAAATTCAAAATTTCGGTCGGAAATTTCAATATTTAAAGCGAGACATTTGCAACCATGACAACTTTTTGCTCAATACCTGGTTGCCAAAAATCAACTGAAAGAAAGGACCTGTCTTCACATGGGTAAGGCTCGTATAATCTCGTTTTTTTTGTAACAATTTAACGCATGCTGTCTAATTTTTTGCTGTATTGAATGCGTATTAAAATTTGTGGTTTTTGTGAATTCATGAAATTTTAATATTGGCAAGCAACTCACAATGCAATACAATTTATGTTAGTGAATCCTTGTATTTGAAATTTTGTAACTTGGCTATTTATTGGTGTACTACAGTGCAAAAGCTGAAAAGCAGAACAATATTTAAAATGTTGACCGGTTTGTGGAGCTGTTGTCGAGCAATGGCGTGTCACGTATAGCGCTACTCAGGCGCTACTAAACCTTATCACTGTCACTGTCACTGACCTTATCAATACAAATACAGTACAGTACAGTACAGTACAGAAATGCAAGGCACCTGGTCTAAAATCCTATCGATATCCTAACAGATAATTTGTTTTATAATGTTTGTATAAAACAAAGTCAAATGAGAATTTGAGCAATATGATGATACGACTAGCTTTAAAATTTTTTAATGTACAAAGCCTTTCAGTCGTTGTATTGTCTTTATTGTGGACTAAACCATGTGTTGTTCAGTGTGGCATTGTTTATTTTGTAAGTTATATGTATCGTATTGCACATGCAGTGTAACTAGACACTAAAAACAATTGTTCATTTACTTTTGAAAGCTTTCCAGATGAGAAGAGATTCCCTGAATTGCACAGCATATGGGTGAAGAATATAAGCAAACTTATGCCAGTGAAGTTTGTTCCTATGAAAAATAGTCGTTTGTGTTCGAAGCATTTTAGTGCAGATATGTTCGAGAAGGGTTATAGTCAGAGACAAGTGTTAAAGCCATATGCTGTACCAACAATCTTTAATGATTGCTTTGGTCAGGTGGGTTGTCGTATTTACAGTTTAGGGAGCGGTCATTATTTATGGTGGGGAGTGGCACCAAAGAGATTTAAAATGGTTAGGTAAACAAAATTTCGAGTAAGTAAAAAGGTGGGTAAATGAAAACTCAAGCGTTGGGTAAGAAAAAAATGTTCCATGCCAAGCATGTCTTTAGTTACTAAAATATTGAAGACTAAAAAGCAATGTCAAAAATCATGTGTCAATACAATATGTGAATCTACCAGAATCACTATCTTGATATTTTCAGATTTGTCGGGACACAAATAATGTCTCCAAAGAAACTACATAATTGTACAGACAATATAAAACTTTAGACGGCAGAAAATTTCACAAACAGTTATCAAACTCATGTCACAGAAGTGGTACCGGTAAAGGACATGTGTCACAATTGAATGGTATCCTTTTGTAAAGTTTTGGCCAGGGGTGGGTATTTATTTTTTAATTGATTTTCAAGGTTGGGCAATCAAATTTTGTACTTTTTTACCCATTGAGTTGCATTGCGCCCTGATGCACCTTACTTTATTACGGTATTTTTGCCACAAAAAACCTTTCTCTTCGGTGCCACCCACCACCATAAATAATGACATGCCCCTTATTATGAGTGTATCAGTATAATTAACCCATTAAACACCAGCCCCCTCCCCTTGATGAGTAAAATTGTCTGGCATTAGACAGAGTAAAATACTAAAGTAGGGTGCATCAGGGTGCAATGAGACTCAATGGGTTAATGGTCATACTGTACAAGAGGGGTAATTAATACTGAATTTTAACACTATTCAATGATTAATGCCTGGCATACTGTAACTGCCAAAGTTACAGGGATGTAAAGATGCTGTCATGCAACCTCTTTTGCATGGGCCTTTTGATATTGGATAATTGGACAAACCTTAATTTTCATACAATCTATGAATCTAATATATTTATACAATATATATTAGATTATCTACAATATATGTAATTATTATATATATCTACAATATATATTGTGTTATTACCTCTGACACCAGCTCAGTGTATGAGGCAAAGAGCAAAGGCACACAATAGAAAAAGATTGATACAAAAAAGTCCTTTTACAAGTTAGAGCATAAAAATATTTTTACAAATAAATGAGACAGTGTTTATGAATTAATCATATGGAAGGTTTTCATACCTTATAAACAAACAAAACCTGGCAATTTTTTTCAGAACACGTATCTCTAAACATTTGGACATTCTTGACATCCTCTACTGTTGTTGTGGCATGGTTATCAGCAAAAGCTGCCAGAATCTTTTTTTCCTATTGTTAACAAATCTCTTTCTTCCTCTAAAAAGAAAGCTGCTGCTCACATCAATTGATAGGTAGCTAATTGATGAATTACATCATTAGTTAGTAACACTAACCTTAATAGTTGAACATCCTAAAGTATGTACTGTAATTTTGTAAATAATTTTCATATTTTTCAAAATATTTCTTAAATTTGTATTTGTCAGCTTTGGGTGAATAGGCTTATTAAATATGATTTTTGCCTTTCTTACAGGTACCGGTACAAATGGAGTTGTTGCCTTTGGATATGTCAAAGGTTGTTCGTGATGATGAAAAGTTGTCTGAAAAGCAAGAGGGTATAAAAGTCACTGAAGACAGCTCTATGATTAATGCAGAGCTGGGTAGTGGTATTGTAACTACCAGTACTAGAGAAAAGAGAAAACACTCTGAAGAGAGTGATTATATTAATGAGGTGCCTATCCCTCAAAAACGAGCGTGTATGGGTATTAAACATGACCATACATATTCTGTCAGTTCTCATTGTAGATTGAAACAGAAGGCCGATAATCTGTTAGATAAAGCAAAAAGTCTGAAGAGGAGATTGAAAACATCTCATATGAAAAGCAACAGGATAAAAAGAAAGGTGAATTCTTTGACTTCAGTTGTAAGTGAGCTAAAGAAAGAGAAACTGGTGAGTAATGATTGTGCCAGTATCCTGGAGACAACTTTTTCAGGGGTTCTTAAGGAACTTATGAAAAGGTTGGTGACACAGAAGAAAAAGAAAAATCCAGGTGCGTATCCAGAGGAATTACGAACATTCGCTATGACCCTGAAGTTTTACTCTGCAAAGGCATATAAATATGTTAGAAAGAGTTTTGATTTAGGGTTACCACATCCGTCAGTGATCAGCAGCTGCTACACTGCTATGGATGGGGAACCTGGTTTTACCAAGGAAGCATTGACAGCATTGAAAGCAAAAGTCCTGGCTGGAAAATGAGATGGTCAAGAAGTCCTTTGCGCGCTAATGTTGGATGAGATGTGCATACGCAAGCATGTACAGTGGGATGGCAAGAAATACCGTGGGTTTGTCGACCTTGGTACTGGCATTGACGACGACTCGCTGCCGGAAGCCACTGAAGCTCTGGTGTTCATGGCAGTCTCCTTAAATTCTAACTGGAAAGTACCATGTGGGTATTTTCTAGTGAATGGTCTTACGGGAGAAGAGAAAGCCAACCTGACGAAAGATTGCCTCACGAAGCTACACGAAGTCGGAGTGAAGGTGGTCTCGTTCACCTGTGACGGACCAAATACTCACCAAGCGATGTTGAAGTTGCTTGGAGCTCGACTGTCTGCTGATAACTTGCAGGCTTACTCTCCACATCCATGTGATAATAATGAAAAAATCTATGTTTTTTTAGATGCATGTCACATGATCAAGTTGGTGCGAAACACCATGTCAGACTGGAAAGTTATGAAGGATAGCGATGGTAACACCATTAACTGGAAGTTTATTGAGGAACTGCATAAACTGCAAGAAATGGAAGGTCTGCGCCTAGCGAATAAATTGCGATTCGCGCATGTAGACTGGAAACCTCAAAAAATGAAGGTAAACTTGGCAGCGCAGACTCTAAGCTCGAGCGTTGCTGACGCTCTAGAGTACTGTGAAGGTAAGCTACATGAAATGCCACAGTTTAGAGGCTGTGGGCCGACGGTAAAGTTTATTCGTATCTTTGATCGCCTTTTCGATGTTCTCAATTCTAGAAATCCGAAGGCGAACAGTTTCAAGGCACCAATCAGAAAGACGAACTATCAGTTCGTGAAGAAGTTTCTAAATGATGCCTGTGAGTACATTAAAGGTCTGAAAGGGCCAGAAGGCCAATCGATGCTTAAGTCGAAACGTAAAACAGGTTTTCTAGGTTTCCTCGTGTGTGCCGAGGCAGTTCAAGGATTAGCGAAAGATCTCGTGTCTGGAGAGAACCCGGTCCTGAATAATGTTCTGACATACAAGATGAGTCAGGATCACTTGGAGTTATTCTTCGGTGCTGTGCGGGCGGCTGGGGGATGGAACAACAATCCTACGGCGATGCAATTCAGGTCTGCGTACAAGCAACTGTTGATGAGACACAACATCACGGGAGGACGAGGAAACTGCGTTCCTCAAGACGATACCGAAATGCTGAGCAATGTTGAAGATAAAACTAGCAACAAATCGTCAACTATCGAAATCAAGGAGGTGACGATCGCGAGAAGATATGACTTGGCTTTGAGAGATGAGCCAGCTGCAACTGATCATGATTACTGTGATGTTCCCAATGTCTTGGAACTATCTGAATTTAAGACATCAGCAATATCGTATATTGCTGGTTACGTTGTAAGAATGGTGGAGAGAAAAATCCACTATTTGAAAT